CTTGACAGTTTGATGACTGGAAATGTACTCTTGCATACATCTGGATCAAACTGCTGAGCAATCTCTTACTCTCTAGCTCTGATACAGTCACAGACATGGTGGCCAAGGACCTTTCCTGAGTCCTTTTTCCTGTGTCAGGGTTCTTTTGCTTGTTTGTTTTTCTCTGCAAAAGCATTAACTGACTTTGAGGTATGATTACACAAAGCAATGCAGTGTCATTGTATAAGATAGTAGTAAAGTGACTTAATATCACACTAGAGTTGTCGGGGCTAATTATGCATCTCAGAGGACTAGGTTGCTTTCTGACTAGCCTGGATATCCATGTGCTGCATCAGTGTGTGCAGTGTGAACATAACCTAACATGTTTTTACCAGCAAAACCCCTATGTAATATTTAGCTGCAAATAACGTTAAATTTAAATTAAAACTAACGAGTGTTCTCTGGTTGCTTTTCAATTTTATCTCTTCCTGTGCTTCGTAATTCAATCTGGAAGTGAGGGGACTGATGAAGAATCAGTTTTGGATGAAATCTGGTTGAATTTTTAGACAGCAATACATGCATTAATTATAAATAATAACTTGAAACAATGTTGGTTGAATTCTTAGACCTAGATTTTAAAAGTTAAATATTCGTAATTCCTCCTTTGCAGTATATTTTTCTACTCTTACCTCACTCCCTCTTTCCTAAAGATCTCCATTTTTAGTTTTCTTTGGCTACAGATATATCCTCTTAAAAGGCAAGGCATTACACTAAGCTTTACAGCACTTTTTCTAAAGCTCATTGTGAGCTCTGCTATATAGCACGCTACAGTCTAAGACTTAACAGTAAGGATGCTTTTTTTTTTCTGTCCCTGAGAATGCTCTTTTTAGCAGCAACACATTTCTTTTATAGTGACATGATAGCAAATAGAGATGTTCACTGATGTAAAAAAAAAAAAAAAAATTAGATGCTGTAGTACTGAACTAATTGTTTAATTTCCATATGTATTAGAAAGATGATTATGAAGACCCCTTACTCATCTGAGGTACCTACCTCACAACATAGCGCGGAAGCATTGACCAGAAGGTGGGGGCAAGCAGACCTGGGAACTTCTAGTTGAAAGCAAACATTCTGCGTCTCCACATGAAGATGGTTCTACGTGACTTCAAGATGATCTTTCTTTGCTCTCCATTTCTTACTTGTCTGCAAACAAGTGCAATAAAGCATTTGATTTCTCATCTGCAAACCAAACTTGTCCCCGTATCTGCTGAATGCCAATGAAAAAAATTCATTCTTGTTGCTAGGACGATGTCCCATATCAAGTCTGATGTCAAATATGATGATTTTCACAGTACATGTAACAAACTTCCTTCAACTTTTTGGCAGACCCATTTTTCGAGAAAGGAGTAGTGCCAGTGATGAATTTTGCTTACACCTTGGGTTCCTAACACTCCTGCTTCACACACTGGTGCAGGATGGCAGGTGAAATGCTTGTAACTGGGGCACCGAAATCTTCTTGTCCTGTGCTGTGGTGACACAGTGCTGCTAACTCGTGATGTGCATCTTAACTTATTACTGACCCCAGATGACAGAGAAAGGCTTTGCACAGTCTTCATTAGACCCAGAGTGGAAGTTGTGGGTTGCCACATTTTAGAAACTCACATCTGTGGTGTCGTACTTCCACTAGAAGTTACCTTCTTCCTAGACATGTAATGGAGAATCATTGATACACAGTTGTAGAGTGCTCTGAAGTGATGACACCTGATCAGCTGGGTTAGTCCTGATTGTTAGGCTGTATGATAAGACTCCTCTGCATCACCAGAAAGGACAGAGGAACAGGTGGGGGTCCCCAGTAAGCTAATGTGAGAAGTGGAGCCTCACAGCTGGCTGCTCCCAAGCTAATTTTTTTATTCTTTAGAGAAAAACAACATTGTAATATTTAATTATTTTAATTGTCTTATTTCCCTCATAATTACTTACTATTCATTCATTTCCCTCATAAAACCATCTTATTTCTACCTATATTTGCCTTCAAATTCTGTCCTCATCACCCCAGAAAATTCAAAATTTAACAACGTAAACTAGTTTTGAAAATAAGCTTGTATTTGTGCTAATATGCAAAGAGATCGACTTGAAGACTGCACTTGACACTGTAACTCCTGGGAGGAAAACAAATGCATTTTATTAACTTAACAACCACATATCCCTGAAGTACAGTTATCAGTTGTCTGGAAGGAAGCATATCTTCATCTTTAAATGAACAGGTGCATTTCTCCTTCATTTATTCTTGGCTTTATATAGGCACGTTTCTTTTCTGCTGGTTTTCATGACAGCAGCTGCTATTGTTATTCAGGGACTGATTTCCATGAAACTTCTACAGTTTATCAGTTAATAAGGAGTCTTATCTTTATCAGAAATTAGACAGCAAGTATGCTAGGCATTATTTCAGGCCCCAGTTACATGCTGAAGAGAAGCTATGTGGCCATTTTTGTTTCAAGTATAGTAAACAGCTGTCATAAGCTACTGTCTTGTGTGGAAATAATAATCTACATCACCACAAACTGAAACTGACCCCCAAATACATACGTTCATCGCATCCGTATTTTCTGTATGTAAATTCAATTTAAAACCTCATCTGATTTGTGTTAGAATGTGGGGGTTTTTTCAGGAAGTACCTGCTTATGGTTTTATACAAGCTTTGCGGCATCAGTCCATGATATGTAAATGTTTCTAATGCAGTAGCTCAGAAACATAAAAAACACTGCTAACAACTGCTAGAGATTTTACACTCCATTTAGAATAAAAAAGTGCCTCTTTTTAAAAATACCTAGAAATTATTAGTGGACTGCATAGGATTATAACATTCTTTTATTATGATTAATTTTTTTATGTGTAAACTTGTTGTTTAACATCACACATGTCTTAACAGAGCAAAATTTCCCATGAGTTTTATGTTAATCCCCCAGTCTACTGAAAACTGCATTAACATACATTTAGATTTTACAAATAAATCAACACAGTTCTAAATTCCCAAGATGTTGCAATATTTAAACTTACAATGTATGTTTTAAATATATAGTCCAAGTAGTGTTAAAGGGACACTGTCAAACTCTTATGACCAAAACTTGGGATTTCTTAACAAAAAGAGTCAGAGCCAGTTGTTTACACTTAAGACATATCATTTATCTAACAGTGAATTTCTCATAATACAAAAATAATTTCAAGACCCTCAAAAACTACTTTCAACTGGATTATAGCAGCAGTTCACTAACACACCCCATTTTGGGCTATGTTTGTGTAAAGCTCACTTCTGAGCTAGAAAGGAGGCGATTGGTGGCAGCCAACATGGCTTTACTAAGGGCAAACTGTGCCTGACAAATTTGGTGGCCTTCTACGATGGCATTACAGCTTTGCTGGGTAAGGGGAGAGCAACAGACATCATTTACCTGGATTTGTGCGAAGCATTTGACACTGTTCCACATGACATCCTGGTCTCTAAATTGGAGAGACATGGGTTTGATGGATGGACCACTCGGTGGATAAAGAACTGGCTGGATGGTTGCACTCAAAGAGTTCCCGTCAACAGCTTGATGTCCAGGTGGCAAGCAGTGACAAGGGGTATTCCTCAGGGGTCGGTACTGGGACCAGTGCTGTTTAACATCTTTGTTGGTGACATGGGTGCTGGGATCGAGTGCACCCTCAGCAAGTTTGCTTACGACACCAAGCTGTGTGGAGTGGTCGACGTGCTGGAGGGGAGGGATGCCATCCAGAGGGACCTGGACAGGCTGGAGAGGTGGGCCTGTGCTAACCTCATGAAGTTCAACAAGGCCAAGTGCAAGGTCCTACATCTGGATCAGAGCAATCCCAAGCACAAATCCAGGCTGGGCAGAGGAGAATGGATTGAGAGTAGCCCTGAGGAGAAGGACCTGGGGGTGCTGATTGATGAGAAGCTCAACATGAACCAGCAACGCATGATCACAGCCCAGAAAGCCAACCGTATCCTGGTTGCATCAAAAGAAGTGTGGCCAGCAGATCAAGGGAAGGGATTCTGCCCCTCAACTCTGCTCTGGTGACACCCCACCTGCAGTACTGCATGCAGCTCTGGAGTCCCCAACATAGGAATGACATGGACCTCTTGGAGTGGGTCCAGAGGAGGGCCATGAAGATGATCCAAGGGCTGGAGCCCCTCTGCTGTGAGGACAAGCTGAAATTCAGAGTTGGGGTTGTTCAGCCTGGAGAAGAGAAGGCTCCGGGGAGACCTTACAGTGGCCTTCCCAGTACCTAAAGGGGGCCTACAGGAAAGATAGGGAGGGACTTTTTCCAAGGGCATGTAGTGATAGGATGAGGGGGAATGGCTTTAAAGTGGAAGAGGGGAGATTTAGATTAGATAATAGGAAGAAATTTTTCACTTTGAGGGTGGTGAGACACTGGAACAGGTTGCCCAGAAAAGCTGTGGAAGCTCCATGCCTGAAAGGGTAGACGGGGCTTTGAGCAACCTGGTCTAGTGGAAGGTGTCCCTGCCTGTATCAGGGGGGTTGGAACTCAATGATCTTTAAGGTCCCTTCCAACCTAAACCACTCTATGATTCTGTGACAGTACTCCCTAGATTTCTGTCAAGAAAAAAAAAAAAGCAGGCAATTGCTGTTATCTACATATACTTAGTGGACTTAAGCATGGCTTAATAGCCATTTTGACAGTGGTCTGGACATTTATGGATTTTGTAGCTGATACTGATAGATTTACACACAAATACTACTGACAGATTTACACACAAATGATGGAGGATATCTTTCCTTCTGAATGGACATGCCTTGAGCCTTCTGTCAGGAGCTCAGGTTTTACAGTATAGTAAGGTCTGGCTACAGGTATTCTAATATTGGATCAGATAAACCAATAGTGGTATAACACAAAATGCTAACTCAATGTGATCTTACTCTCCTAATGATCATTTGCAAAATTTTAGCAACTGGCATATGTACCGGCAGGCTTTGTGACAGAAGAGATCTCTCTGTCCACGTTACCGCATTGAGTTATCACCAGTGCTCCCACAGCCTTCACAAAAGCATAGAGCAAGATTACCACCGGTATTACACCACAGGTGGCTAACTTGAAGGAATTCAGGTACTCTTGAGTAACCTGCGACACCACGGCTTTATCAGGGTAACTGGTGTAAGCTGCAGTGCTATGTATTTCTTCAGCCATTCTGACTTTCACACTTGGCACCTGAGGTCTGTGACTGCCCATTGTGAACCTTTGGCTATCAAGAGCAGTGTCTGGACTGCTATGTAAATAGCAGCATGCATGCACAGGCTAAAAAGGAAAAACACACTGTGGAGTTTGTTCTGGGCCTCTTGACCGAACAGCTTTTTTGTTTCCCAGGCTAACCTTTTGTATTTCTTCTTCTGGCCAACTGAGGCCAAGACAAAAAGCTCTTAGCTTCATTTATGACAGAAGTCTACCCACTGATTAAATGTTCCTTGTGGAATAGACACGTACTTGGATTTCTCAAAAAAAGAGACTATGATCCTAGTGATAACAGGTCTTTTGAGTGCTGCATTGCTACACCTGCCCTGCCCACTTACAATTTTGCTTCAGCTTGGAGATGGGCACTGCTAACAAGAGCAAGGCACATCACAACCCTAGTGAAGAATATACAAATCCTGGTGAAGAATATATTCACATAGAGTATGAAGAATATAGTCACATAGAGTAAAGGCAGGAGTGCACCAATCTGTTGTCATGGTTTGAGATAGAACAAAACCAATTTTCTTTTCAGTAATTTTACTTTTCACCTAAGTCTCTTCTGACTGTACTTTCTGAAATTCACAGAATCACAGAATTTTCAGAGTTGGAAGGGACCTCTAGAGATCATCTAGTCCCACTCCCCTGCTAAAGCAGGATTGCCCAGAGCACATGACTCAGGACTGCATCCAGGCGGGTTTTGAAAATCTCCAGAGAAGGGGACTCCACACCCTCCCTGGGCAGCCTGTGCCACTGCTCTGTCACCCCAACTGTAAAGAAGTCTTGATCTGAAGTTACTTTTTAAAATAAATAAATAAATAAATAAATAAATAAATTTCTTCCCCTAATGCATGTTTATCTTCAAGTTTTAAAAAATGTCTAGCTCCTAACTTTGACTGCTCTGGCTACAAATTCTATC